CTCGGGGCGGCCCCGTCCGCGGTCAGGGCAGGGCCCGGGTCCCCGCGGCCGATCCGCCAGCGCGCGCCGGGCCGGGTCACGGCCGGAGCCCCGGGCGCCTGTTGCGGCTTAACCGCCGCGGGGCGGGGCGGGGCGCTGCCTCCGGAGAGCCCCCGGGCGAGGGAGCAGGCCCCGCCGCAGCGCCCCTTCTTCCCGACCCGGCCCGCAGCAACCCGGGGCAGCCGGGACGGCGCGGGGAGCCCCCGCTTACCAAGCCGCGGCATCCTGGAGACCCAGAAGCCGCAGCCGCCGAGCAGGAGGCGCCCCCGCCGGGTCCTCATGGAGGGGGCCGGGCGGCAGCGGGGAGCGCGCCCCTGCGCCCCAGCGTCGCGGGTCCCAGCGACGGCCCCGCGCCCCGGCCCCGCACCGTTGGCCGCGGACCCCGGCCCGCGCGCTCGCGGCGGTTGAGGCCATCGATGCAGGCGCGTGCCGGGCGCCCCCGCTTGACTTTCCTGGAGTGGGAAGTGGCTTTTGTGCCGGGCTCTGGGCTGAACACGTTGCATGTTTTATCTCGTTAAGTCCGCACAACCCCCTCCCCAAGAATAACGTTATTGTGAAGGTCATTTCACACCTGAAAAACACGGGGCCTCGTGAGCCCGAGGTCCAGCGGGAGCACTGCGCTCGCCCAGAGAAGTGGGGGGTTGTCGATCCCGCTAACCTGGTGGAAAGGCTCTCGGTCACCCCGGCTTCTAGTTGCTCGATTTCTCCGAGTTCAGCTCTAACTGATGCTGAGTCTGAAGGGCTTTGCACAGGTGTCAGAGGGAGGAAACCAAGCGAGCCCCCGGGGAGCAAATGCTCTGTTTATCACACAGCACAGCTCTTTTGGAAAACCCAGAGACCTGATGCCAAGCACGGCAGAATGAATTATTTTTATTTTTGCTTATGTATGCATACAAGAACCGGGGTGTGGGCCACAGGTGGGGTTGTGTGTGAGAGGACTCACCAGAGACACCGTGCGGAGCAGAACAGGCAGATCCACTGACATGCACTGCTGCGGGGAGCAGCGGGACAGGAGATGTCCCCTGGCCATGTGGGTCGGCTCCCTGGCCAGGGGGATGGAACTCATGCCACAGTGGCTGGCAATAGCTTGACAGTGCTGCGACTTTAACGCCTGCGCCACCAGGGAGGCCCAGAAGAAGAATTAATTTACTCCTCAGGTTTCATGTGTCAAACTCCTTGCCTGCAGAGCATTGATGCTTTTAGAGCCAAAGGGGTAAGCAGCAAGCTTTGGAGAATTCCTGCATGTTCTGGCATTTTACTAAAACTGTGTCACTGTAAATCAAATCTTTACGTGACCCAAGTCACACGTGACCCAAGTCAAAGTAAGCACATTTTCTTCCTATTCACTAGTTATTTACTTCATAACAGTGATTTAAAATAGATTAGCAACGACTTAATTCAAATCAGTTCTGGGAACCGGTAAACTCCTGAACCTCCATGGCTTCACAGTAGAGGTTTAGCGCCTGCTCAGGTAATATCCCAGGACCGCCCACCAGCTTGGGTCACTCAGAGTCCCCGGCCCTTCCATCTCGGCTTCCCCTCTCCTCCAGGGCTGTAGAATTCTTTCCTCTCCACTGGGGGACTGGAGGGGGAAAAAATGGAGAAGAAATCAGGACCAGAATTAATGTACCTTAATTCTGCTCAAATTCTGTTGGTGAGAAGGAACTAAGAAAGGCAGGCCCTGGCTGGGCCAGATGCTTCCTATCAACATATTGTCATGGGAAGGGGTGACAGGATTTCCATGTCAACTCTCCATCTCTGCCACATCATCTTACCCGACTTCAAAATTGTAATGCTTCTCAAAACATTTGATCCACCAAAGAAATCAGTGACTAGTTGTTGGACTCAAGAAATGAGCGTAACTAAGAAGGGGGAGGATGTTCTCAGGCTGACAAACAGAACATCCACGTCAAAGATGGAACATGTACAACACTGCCTGGGAGCGCAAACAGTGCCCTGGCCCAGCAGCAGCACAATGTTGGGGCAGGTTCTTAATCCTCTCTAAACCTGGGTGCCTCCACGGTCATGGCGGGGGACAGAGCAAAGAGTAGCTGACATTCATACTGGCGTTTCTATTCATGCAGGCCCTGTCCTGGGTGAAGCAAGAAGCTTGTTCCGGGCTGGGGGAGAGTCATGAGCTACAGATTGCTCAGCGCCAGAAGTGGGTTGCCAGTTAAGGTCATTTTAAGGCGGTGAAGTTGCAGCTCGTGTGTATGGGAAGGCCTCAGAGCCAGCTCTCGCCACCTAAGTGCCATCCGATGCCAGAGTTTGTTGTGAAGCTTCCTCTCTCTCACCACCTCTCTCACAGGTAGTTCGTATCTTAAACACAATCTGACACTCTTCAGCTGTGGGGACTGTTTCCATAGGAACCCAACAAGCAAACTGGCTCTGTAGCGCCACCACCAGGAACTGTGTGAGTTCAAAAATCCCAGTGGTCCCCACAAGGCGGCAGCATTACGTGTCCGTCAACGTCAAAGTTTCTGCCACAGAACCTAACATAGTTTGAGGATGATGCAATACAGATCTCACAAAACCAAACAGGGCAGTCACTGTTCTGAATATTTTAAATGCTTTCACAGAAGTAGTCCATTTCACTGTTAGCTGAAGAGTGTAAAGTTTCCCTTCTCAGCACACACTTGCTAAATTTCAGACTTTACACACTCCAATGGGGCATGCACATTTCTTTGGATCTTCTATGGATCAAATGCTGGACATTGCACCCAGCTGTTGATTAACAATCATACCAAACAACTCTTTCCATTAACACTGCCTTGCACTGTTGAGAATGCAAGAAACCGAGCACTACTCAAAACGGACCCAAACTCCATTTCACCATAGCCTTTGTTTTCCAGGTGGGCGCATCTCCTAAGGCCAAGAAGCACACAGTTAAGTTCAGAGAGCAACGTGCTACCTCCTTGAAGACAGATTTCTAACCTTAGGACTTAACCACCATGTAGCCAACCACATGGATGAAACCAAAGAGAATAAGAGAAAGAGAGACCAGGCTCCCTGGCTTACATCTGCCAGATCCAGACAAATTAACTAGTGGAGAAGAGAGTGGGCAGTCATATGCCCACGACACGGTCACGCACAGTAACGCTGCGTCCGATAAATGCAGCTCGACTCACTCTTCAGGTCTGACCAAAAAGGGTAGCAGTCTCTTCTTTGAGGAATGTGGATAGAGTGGGTCAACAGGAGACAAGAAGAGCTCCTTTCCCCATTCCTACACACAACACAGCATGTCAAAAGGTATTCTAGGGGCCCTCCTGGTGGCGCAAGGGGTTAAGCACTGCACTATGAAGTGGTCCACAGCCTCTGCAACACGAGTTTGATCCCCGGCCAGCCAGGGAGCAACCCACATGACATGGCAAACCTCTCCTGTCTCGCCCGCTGCTGCCCTCAGCAGTGTATTTCAGTCAGTCTGCCTGTTCTGTTCCCCACTCTGTGTCTGGTGAATCCTCTCACCCCCCACATGCCTGGCCTGTACCCCAGCTCTTGTATGCATAAATAAATAAATCTTTAAAAAAAAGTATTTTAGGGTTATCTCATTTCTATTATGTGAAGAAGGTCTTGTGTAATCAGAGAGAGTTTCCTGAAACAGAATTTAGTTTCTACTTCTTAGTTTTCCAAATTGTGTTCTTTACCTTTCGAACCTTTTTCTGTACAATAGAATATCCAATAAGATGCTTTCTAAGTTTCCTTCAAGACATAAGACGTTACGCTATTAGTATTGTAGGATACATCCAGACTTCATTACCAAGTTGGCTGCTTCTATGGTCAGGGATGATGGCTTATGTGCCCTTCACGTGTCTGGTATTTTACAATTAGTATTTTTTTTTTTTAATGTTGGTTGAAGTGTGGCTAAGTGTGTTCTGCTGCTTTGATCTGTGTTAACAGGGATGGAGGGAATAAACACAAACACGCTTACGAGGAATTCTCCTGGAGATCTGAACATGAAACTAATACTAGCCGCTCCTAAGCAGGCGCCTGGGGTGGGCAGGAGGAAGCTATCTTTGTACTTACATTTTGCTCTCCCTCTGCTTTCTCCTCCAGTCACACCGGCCTTCTTGCTGTCCCTCTGGCCTATGAGGCATGCCCTTGATTGAAGGCCTTTGCGCTTGTGATGCCAGTGCCTGGAACACTTTCTCCAGAATCCTTACAGCTCACGTCCATACTTCATTCTGGACACAGCTCTAAGGTCACCTCAACACGGACACTCCCTCCTCTGAAGAGACATCTCTCTGGGCAACTGCCTAATGCGCCTCACTTTATTGTACTTTTAAAAGAGGGACACATTCTTCTTTTAATTATTGTGATATGATACACATAACATTAAATTTAGTAGTTTAGCCATTTAAAATGTACCACTCAGTAGTATTTAGTATATTCCGGAACCATCACACCTATCTAGTTCCAGAATATTTTGTCACTCCAAAAGGAGACAACTACTCATTAAGCAGTGGCTCCCCATTTTCCTGCCCACCGGTCCCTCAGCACCCCTCACTTTACCATCTCCTGACCTACAAAATATTTGCGTTCAGAATATGACTCCCTTTTTGAACACTGCCTGGTGTATAATAAGCAATCAACAAATAACTGTTGAATGAATGACTATGCTGTTTGAGGTGGGATTTTTTTTCTTAAAAATGTATTTATTTAGACATACAAGAACCCGGGTGCAGACCAGAAGTGCGGGGGTGGGGGTGAGAGGATTCACCAGAGACAGAGTGGGGAGCAGAACAGGCAGACTGACTGAAACACACTGCTGAGGGGAGCGAGCAGCGGGCGAGACAGGAGAGGTCTGCCGCGCCATGTGGGTAGCTCCCTCGCCTGCCTGGGCTCGAACCCGCGCTGCAGAGGCTGCGGACAGCTTCAGTGCGCTGAGCTCGACCCGCTGCGCCACTGGGGAGGCCCTGAGGTGGGATTATTTTTTAAAAAACAACCCGCTAAGGAATACATACTTGACGAACCAGCCGTTAGGCGTTAATTATTAGCGGGAGGGCAAAGCTCCATCTTCTCTCGACATCGGGGCTCTCCTCGGCCACGCCGGCCACCGCAGTCCTCCGGGGCGAGGCTCCATCTCCTCAGCCACGAAGTGAGGCAGCTGAGTTACTTCACGGAATGAAGATCAATATCGGCGAAAGCCCTTTTATCTTTTATACTGGCTCTAGGAAAATCACCCAACACACAGGGCTCGCGGTGTGGGAGCAGCGCCCCCCCGAAACCTGAGCAAAGATTACCTGAGGCTTCAGGTGAGAGGCGCCTCAGCAGCTCCGCCTGGAGCGACCAATCCCTCGCGCGGGGCGTGTCGCCGGGCGTCGTTGCCAGGGCAACCGCCGGGCGTCCCTAGATTCGTTCGGGTTGACCTCCTGGCAGCGCGAGCCATTGGTGGAGCGCGAGCCAATAGGGAGAGGCCGGCGGGCCGGGGGCGGGGCCTGGCCGCGGCCGGGGGCGGGCGTTCCCGCGGCCCCGCCCCCGACTTCCGGGTCGCGGTGCTTGCAGGGAGCCCTCCGCGCGCGTCGTTTCCGCTGCCGGCTGCTCGCGGTGGGGAAACCGAGGCAGGGCGGCCCCAGCCTCCCGCTGCAGTGAGGTGGCCGCCGCTTCTCTTCCTCTCGCCCGCGCGGCGCCGTGCGGCTGCGCCGGGCGCCCGGCGGGGCTGGGGCCGCCGTCACCCGCGCGGGCCGCGCGGCGGGGTCGGCCGCGTCCGGAAGGGGCCGCCTCCCCGAGGTCCGGGCCCGCGAGCCCCGCGCCTCCCCGGGCAGCCCGTCCGCGGGCGGGGGACTCGCCCCGAGTCCCGTTCGGGCGGGCCCCGCCGCGGCCCTGACCCGCGGGGCCTCGAGTCCGCCCGCCCGGCCCCTGGAGACGGGCGCCCGCGGGCAGGCGGGGGGCGCGCTCGCCCGTGGCCCCGAGTGACCCCCGCTGCCCCCCCGCCCCCCCTGCTCCCCCCAGCCCCCCGCTTCTCTGGCGACGGAGGACTTTCCTGCGGCCATAAAGACCCCGTGGGGTCGGGGGTGGATTCATTGCCGCTCGCGGTTCCGCCCTCACATGTTGACTGGAAACCCAGAATTGGCCCGGGGGTGCGCGAACCCCTCTCGCCCCGCGGCCCGGGGCGGCGAACCCCGCGAGGGCGCTCGTGCGGGGCGGCTCCCCGCGGGCGACAGGTGTGGTGGGGTCTCCCACGGGGGCTCAGGACTTTGAAAAACATTCCCGCATTGTGGTGCATTCCGTGGAGTTGTTGCTTAGTTGGGGTCTCCCTGTTCTTGAACTCCCGAGCCCCAATTCTCAAGCATCAAGTTGAAACGGGGAACCGAGCTTGCATCTCAGCAGCGCTGGTTTTTACAGTTACTTTTTGAAAAGGGATAAACTGGCCGTTTGGCCAGCCGTCCTCTCGTCCCAGTGGACTTTAGCACCCCTGTCATTGTCTCCTCGACGCCTGAACACAGACCACTGAGCAGACCCCAAAGGGTAACGTCGTAGAGAGCGTGGCCAGCGTTTGGGATTTGATGAGGTGGATAAGCTGAGTTTTCCATTCTAAAATCCAATGTAAGGTCATTAAACCTATCATATATTTCCTCCTCCAGGGAAAAAAAAAAAACATGTTAATTTCTTTATGGGAGTTCTTCTATGGGCACTTTTTCCGATTTTGGATGAAATGGCTCCTACGACAGATGACTGGCAAGTGTGAATTGCAGCGGATTTTTGACACCTATGTAGGTGCACAAAGGACACACAGGATAGGTAATGTTACTGGACAAAAATATTAAAAACTAATATTTGAATGAATTCTTTCTCAGTGCTCATAGTGACATGTGCTTACTCTCCTAAATCAAGTTACTTAAACTCAGTTTCATCTTCTGAAATCTAGCATTGAATCCTTCCAGCTCTGAAAATGTATGATTTTATAGAAGAAGAAACTGATGATGCTTTAATTTCTCTATACTTCTATAAGCCCTTGGAAATTTTCACTCAGGTGAGGGCAACAGTGGGCAACCACAGATTCTCTAGGAAAGATGGTTAGACTCAAAATCTGCACTGCCCAGTACTCTAGCCAGTAACCCCACTTAGCTGTTGAGCCCTTGAAATGTGTTCTGTGATGTGGAAAAATATAAGACATACACTCCGGTTCAAAGAGTTTATATGAAAAAATCATGTAAAAATATAGCATTTGTAATTATGTTCACTTTATGTTGCGATAATAGATTGGATATTGGGTTCAAATATATTCGTAGGACTTCCTCAACAATTTAAAGAAACTCGTGGTTCACATGTTGGCCTACAGGATATTCCTGTTGAACAGTGCTGTTCTAGTACTTTGAAAATTCATTCATTTCCAATGCTTAAGAGAAAATACTGCTTTGAATTAGAACACACACAAGTGAGGAGTGTGATGGGATCATTTTGGCCAAGGGAGGAAGTAGGGGTCAGGCTGTTCATGTTCAAGAGGTTAAATGGAAAATCATGAATTAACTAGATCCTTGTTGGTGTTTGGAGTGTGCTTCAAGTAAGAGATCCACCCCTGTAAGATTTAGGGAGTGGGAACTGGTATCCAAGGCAATGCTGTTAGACCTGAAAGAGTAAACCTCAGGGCAGCTCGATGATGGAAGTTTAATTACTCCCCTAGTTTTCTCACAATTATATGACCTACTTCAATTATTGCCTGCTCTTTTGATTTGCCCTTTGATACCTCTGAAAAGAACTAAGCACCTCTTGGTAAAAAATCTTGGCTGAATTGGATAGGGTGTCTGGTGTGAAGAAGAGCATGTTAAGGTTTTATTTCATGGCAGAAGCATTTTTCAAATTGATGAGAAATGTGTCAGAAAATTTCTTTCATAGACTTAACTTTGTGATTCTTGAGACCGGAAACAATTCTCATGAATGGAGAATTGTTTTGCTGTCTGCCTGGTTTGAAGATGGTTAGCCAAATAATCCAAAGTCATTATTTTTGCCCCCTTCATTGTGAAGGATACAGTTGCTTGCTTCGCAAATCTTGGAGCATGCTCCATAAGGCTACAAATGAAGAAAATGTAGCAGAGAGCACTTTTGCTGTGGTCACACCCAGTTTCTGGGACCTGAGCTATTCTGAAGCAGCTGTGAATGTGCAGTGGTTAGCAGGCACTTGGGGGCCCACCTGGAAACAGGTAACCCCGGGGACACTAGGTTGGCCTCATCTTTGTGGCCCTAAAATGTTCTTTGGGCTTGAGGATTTTGCAATCATATCTACTTCTCTGTACAAGTAAGATAAAAGTTTTCAGTGTTATGTTGCTCATATAGAAATTATCTTCTAGATCTGTAAGTCTTCCTGAATGATAACATTCTTTTTTTTTTTTTCTTTTTCCATTTCAGAAAATTCCTTAACATACTCCAAGAATAAGGTAGGATCATATCAAGGTGGTAATTCTAGAAAATTTAACTTGGAGATACTTTTTCTATAAAAGCATGCTTCAAATTTAGAATTAATTATTTTTAATGTCCTAGTAGAAGAGTCTTTGCAGAAAGAATATTGAGTGAAATTCTCCCACTTTAGAAGTAACAGTCTATAATATTTTCTCTCTGCCTGTGTGTGTGTCTGTACTCTATTTGCATAAAGAAGTTATTTGTATAATTTGTCCTGTTCTGAAGTTATGCTTGCTTCTTTGTTTTTGCCTCAACTTGATAGTTTTAGAAAAGCAGGGTTTTAGAGGGCAAACTATTTTGACTGTGTCCTAAAGTGATTCTTAAGTGAAAGGAAGCTAAGCGGTTTGGGATAGTTATAGAAAACCCTGAGCCATGTGCTGTTTGATCCAAAAAAAAGTCATTCCTCATGCTATGAATCACTCAGCCTTTGCTGTCTAATATTACAAAATCTCAGGAACATCTATCAATACATACGTTATTAATTTCACACTCAGGTGTCGGTGTTTCTTCATTCTTGCCAAGTTTAGGTCTGTTCCAATTGTTTCTTTCTGGGGTGCAGGTTAGAAAAATAGTAGGTTCTTTTCACAGTGGATTGAGGAAAGCCCAAACACATAGATACCTCATTGGCTAAAGTTAAGTACACGTCTAAGTCCAAGTGAAGGGTGGAGAGTTACTAGTTAAGAAATCTGTTTCATGTGCATAGAAAAAAGACTGGAAGGATATATGTTAGTCTGTTACCAGTGACTGTCACTGGTGATAATATTACAACATTATTTGAGTTTTCTTTGTGTCTTCTGCATTTAAAACATTGACTTCTGAATTAAAACTTTGTGTACATTTTTGTTTTGTAATTTTCTAATTATACGAAAAAGTCTCTGCCTCATAAGCACACCATGGTGGTAGCTCATTGGCTAAGAGCTCATCAGCCAGTTCTCAGTTAAGGAAATCCTCATCTGATACATCATGCTTCTTCCCTTTTATTAATTAAGAATTAATAATTAATTTATGATTTTAGCCCTAGTGAAGTTGTGAAGCAACTTAGCTTTCATTTTGCCCATTAACTTTGTAAAGCTCACTGCATGTCTCCCAGCATGCTTTTCTTTTCCAGCTGCAAGGGATTTTTCACCTGCGTTTTTTCCCCACATAAATAGGTTTTACGGAACTCGACACTTGTTCAGAGTGCAGTGGACAAGTGTGTAGAAGATATAATGAGGGAAAAGAATATTAAACTGGAGAAGGACTCAAGGTTTGCTGCCATCGTGCACGTACATGGGGCCATGGGGGTGGGCAGTCACACAGCTGGAAAGCATTAGCGCTGAAGGGGTCATGGAAATATCTGATTGAACCCTTTTACTCTCCGGGATGAGGACTAGTGGTTCCGGAGAGATTGTGTTAGAGGCAGGACCAAAACCTACCCCCCTTGGTTTACATGCCAGCATCTTGCTCATTTACGGTAATCTGCCTTTAAGGTAACTTACCCTTACTTTCCCAGAATTCATTACCTTCGGTAACTATGTCCATTCAAATTCAGCTCCTCTTCCTCCTCCAGGAAGGCCCTGGTGGCTTGAGTCCAGGCCCTGGGCCTGTGTCATTGGTAGAGGAAATAAGAACAACGAACAAAGAAGAGTTAGGAACTGTGTCGTTCAAGCAAGAGATGACAAAGCCATAAACACAAAAGGGGCAATGGATAATTGCTTGGAGGGACGTTTTTGAGATAGGATCTCTTGATATACTGAGAGACCTGAAAGGCCAGAACTTGAAGGTTACCGGTGTCATTAGTAGATTCAGAGGGTATTAGATTTAGATGACGAGCACACTTCTTCATGGAGAGGGCTATTATGCTTGGGAGAACTAAGGTAACCTGTTGATGATATCTGGCAATAAAGATTGGGGAATGCACGAAGTTGCCCAAGGAAAACATGAAAAGAGAACAGACCCTCACAGGTGTAAAGTTGGCCATTCCCACCCTGTCCCTGAGGACTTTGTGTAGTGTTTTGTGTTTATGGAAGCCCTGGATATTTATTATATGAAACTGAAAGTGATTACTTCATTGTGACAAGAAGGTAAAATTTTTTAAAAATAATTTTTATCATTTTCAGTTTTCAAATCTGCATGAAGGCATGCTTACTGCAGATAACTGGCTATAAACAGCTCTATTTGGATGTGGAAAGCGTAAGGAAAAGGCCGTATGATTCTGATAACCTGCAGCATGAAGAGCTGCTTCTCAAGGTAGGTTTCTGTTTTCTGTGTTTGTAGTTATGGGGCACTGGAGAAAAAATTCAGGCTTGAGTCAGTCAGGTCCTTGCACAAACTCTAGAGGCTAATGTGTACAGCCCTCCCATTTCTTTGTCCTTTAGAGCATTTTATGATATTGGTGAAAGATGTTTATTAACTGTTATAATTTTCTAATTAAGCATCATTAAAATATTCAAGTACATTTTATTTATTGCTTTTAATTGAGATAAGTTACAAACTTATATAAAGGGACATCTTGTCAGCCAAAAAGGATGAATCCAGAAGCTTCAGGTTCCCCCTCATACACACCCTTTTTATATGAATAACTTGTATAAGTTAAGCCTTTTAGATAGGAATGAGTGTGCTGCATTTTTTAAGGATAATTGAAAAGTTCCTAAATAGTCTCTGTTGCACCTATGATTTGTCTACACAAGTTGTTTAATTGAAAGCTTTCAGCTTACGAGTGACATCAACTATAGGAGGGAATGTCTTGGTAAATTAAGAGCATCACTATTATTTGTAATATGAAAGCATGTTTGTACAGCTTTGGAATCTTCTAATGCCCACGAAAAAGTTGAAGGCTAGAATCTCCAAGCAGTGGGCTGACATTGGTTTCCAGGGTGATGATCCCAAAACAGACTTCAGAGGCATGGGCATACTTGGATTAATCAATCTTGTGTAAGTGAAATAAACTTTCTTTCCTTCTGTAAATAAACTTTCATGTAATCTCCAATTTGGTTAAATTCTAATAGAAATTGCTCTAGTTGTTTTATACTATATGAATTTTAATAGCTGCAGTGCTAAAAAAATATTTTCTAATGTATTGGCAACAGTATCAAGACATTGGAAATATACTTGTATATGTGTGATTTCTTTCCTTACCAATATCTTCCCTGTTCCTATGCTTCTTGATTTTCCTTCTGATACTAAGAAATTATATACACTCCTACTTTTTTTATCTTGCCTGTCTCTATTGAGTCTCTGATTCTATTTTGGGAACTATGTCAGATGAGATGAGAATAAAAATACTCGTCACCATCTATGACAAGTCATCTAAACCACTGATTTGGGATGGGCTTGGGTGCTTTTTCAATGTTTGTGGCAGTACTGGGACTGTTATCTTGATAGTAGCTTTTTCAGTTGCTTTTGGTGATCTTTAATTTGAAAAACATATTGACTTCATTATTTTTCTTAAATCTTTTCTTAGGTATTTCAGTGAAAATTATACCAGTGAGGCCCATCAGATCCTTTCCCGCTCAAATCATCCAAAGTTAGGGTAAGCTGGATATATTAAAGAAACTATACGCTCTCAAATTCCAGTTGGTTTGATGATCTATAGTTGAAGTTCAAGTTGGTTTGATGATCTGTGGTTTGATGATCTATAGTTTGCTGAGCTATAGCTGAACCCTAGTAAGGTCAGCCGTGAACTTGGGGACACTATGATATGTCAATGTACATTCATTAACTGTGACAAATATACACCGTGTTGGGGGAGGTTGGCAAAGGGGGGAGCTGTGCATGAGTAGGGAGTGCAGGGAGTTTGGACATCTCTGTTTATTCTGCTCAGTTTTGCTGTGAACCTCAAATAAAGACCTAAAGTTAAAAAAAAAAAAAATTGAAAGAACTTAATGATATTTTAACTAACAAAAATGTTATAAAGGATATTACACAATTCTTAAAGCTAAATATGACCAATTTTGTATGTTTTAAAACATATACAAAACATATTTTTATCAACAGCTATAGTTGATCTATAAAATGAAGAAAAGGAAAAACCTTTATAAAACATTTTTCCTTTTTTGAGAAATAGATTTGAAAAAGGGTATAGCAAGTAGCTTCGATATGGGAAAATGAAAAATAGCTTTGTAAATTGTGGCGTGAAACACAAATTTTGAGTCAACCTTATTACCTTTATCATTATTTTTTCACTTTTATATTCCCATGATACCTGGTCTTTAAAAAAATATAACAGTGTTACATATAAAAATAAATACCCTGATATTGGAGAAGAAAATATCAGATTTCCTAGTGTATCATTTAAAAAAAATTTTTTTTTTTACAGATTTAGGTGTCAATGTGATCAGAGCTTGCTTTTTATTTCTTAGATTAAATCCAGAATATCAACCACCTTTTAAAAACAATTTTTAAAAAATCCATTCTGATTGATTTTTCCTAATATGAATATGTAGAGATTTTCATAAAATCAGTACTCTTTAGAAAAAAAATCAAAGTAGTTCTAATTCAAACTAATCCTACTAATTGCTTACATAACTGTAAATTTATTTTGTGAGCAGTCTGGCTAGCTGGTATAACAGGTCATGTTTCTGACCTAGGTATTCTTATGCAATAGTTGGAATCAATCTCACAGAGATGGCCTATAGCTTGCTGAAGAGTGAAGCTTTGAAGTTTCACCTCTACAACTTTGTTCCTGGGGCACCAACACTGGAACACTTTCATCAGTTTTACTGTGAGTATTAGCATGAGGGCAGCCAGGTGTTTCTTAAGAGAATTCTTAAACCAATAGGAAAGTCTCACGTATAATTTAATAGCTCTAGCAAGTCTATAACTTACGCATGTCATTTTATTATTCAGGATCCTTGGAAAAGAATGGAAGATGGGCCCCCAAAATTACTTAATATTTTAGTTTCTATATTTACTGGTTTAAAAAAATGCAGCGAGGCTGTTTCTTCACATGCATGTGACTTGAAGATTTCTGCAGTTTTTCTGTAAACTTCCATTTTCCAATCAGCTGAAAATTTCACTTTTGAATCCTGGGTAATGAATGCCAAGTCAAGGAAATTTTGAAGATTATCTTGTTATTCTTGTAAGGAAATTTTATATAAACAGACTTTTCAGTCCCCATATTTCAGGGCTGGTTCTGTTGGTGTTAGGCGGAGGACGCTTAGTAACATTTTACCAAAATAGGCAGTATTACTGCTGCTCCGGTCACCTTTATTGTGACCATTTCTGAACACTGAAGGTTTAATTAAGTGAAGCATCTTCTGAAGGTATCTCAGAATATCAAAACATTCAGAACTAGTGTGGCTTCATATTCATCTTGATCTTTCTGTGTCTTTAGAATGGTAAACAAAAATGTCAAGCTGTTTTAAAGTTCTTTTATTCTTCTTTTAAAAAGACAGTGTTGGCAATTCATTGGAAAAAAATAGGAACAATGCTGACTTTCAGCAATCAAAGTGAAAACAGCTTTCCTGTACTTTATCCATGTTGGACTCTTTCTTGTTATTTTCATTTTTGTGTTTCAGGGGTCTTTGGAAATAACTTTTTTCCTATTCCCGAAGTATCTTTTGAAAGTATTTACCTCATGGGCCTCCCCGGTGGCGCAGCGGTTGCGAAGCTGCCCGCAGCCTCTGCAGCGCCGGTTCAATCCCCGGCTGCTCCCCGGCCACCAGAGGAGGGTCCCACATGGCGCGCAGACCTCTCCTGCCGCCCGCTGCTCCCCTCAGCAGTGTACTTCGGTCCTTCTGCCTGCTCTGCTCCCCACTCTGGCTCTGGTGAATTCTCTCACCCTCCCGTGCTTCTGACTGTACCCAGTGCTTGTATAAATAAATAAATAAATCTTAAAAAAAAAAAAAAAAAAGTGAAAGTATTTACCTCTCAGGAGGGAGTTTGTTGATTTTTGAGGCATATAGTTAAGTGTACACTAAGTATTTTATGCAGTTGCTATTTATTTTGAGCATACAAAAATATTTCTTAATTTTTTTTCAGGTGTGTAGCTTAAGATGATTTCTGACTATTTTATACTAATTTTCTAGATGGTTTTATCTTTTTGAAATGAGATGGCATGGATGTGATTTTACTCTTGTGACTATATTCATATTTTGTTTTTCTCCAACCACAGGTTATCTTGTCTATGAATTTGACAAGTTTTGGTTTGAAGAAAAGCCAGAAAGCATTATGTATTTCAACATATATCGAGAGAAGTTTCATGAAAAAATTAAAGGACTCTTACTGGATTATAATGTATCGCTTACTTTAAAAACATGAATCATCCATAATATCTTCTATTTCTACCACATTTTGCACACACAACAGAATTTATATGTTGTAATAGAAATTATCTGATCAATTACACTCCTTATATATAATTTCCTACAAAAATATTTCAGAAATTCTATTTAAGAAAGCTAGTGGACAATCAGTGTATGTTTACACATGTTTATACACTGTCCTCCACGGGTACATACCCTTCCAAAGAGCCCCTCTGTAGAGTCACGTGAACTGCAGCTTGGAACTTGGGACTTAGCCCATGTAGTGTAAAAGTGCAAATCAGGTATTTGTCTTAAATTGGTTGATTGATTAAAATGTATAAAAATCAGTTTTCATTTTTAATGTGTTGTAGCTGTCGGGCTGGTATCTTTTCAGAGTTCTTTAAAGAGTTTTTTGTTTGTAGGTTCTGTTTTTGCCCTTTCTTTGTTTCATTTTACTGCTTGGTTAATTGACAGGGAGGATAGTTCTTCTTTGTTTGCGCCTTCGACACATGTGGCTGTGACTCCCTGAGACTAGATTGTAGGTAGACACGAGCTTCTCTGATTATTTAGCATAATAGATAACAAGAGAATGGCAGTACAGGTGACGTGTTTTGGTTTTTTAGTATCATACGTTAACATATCACAATGTTATTTTAAAGCTTAAAGGCCATTTTCAACTTCAGTATTTATTTCTCTCAGTTTTATAAAAGACCCTTCCTGCTTGGGCCTTTTATGAGGTCTCCTTGCTGCCTGTGTGTATTTGTGAAATGAGTTGTACCTAGTAAGAAAATCTTGCTTGTATTCAAAGAACAGTTACTATTTCAGTAGTAACTTAATCAAGAGGAAAATATAAAGCTTTTTAAAAATCTGAGTTAAACACCACTGGTTTATTTGACTTAATTTGCTGCTCTTTGCTTTGATTCCTTGCCGTTCTAAGTGGTGGTGTATGGGCTTTATGAATATTTTTTGTGTTAACAGTCTGTGGGATTCTAAAGTAGCCAGGGGATGAGGACTATGCATGTTGTGTAGCTTATTCTCCTAAAATCTCAGGAGGACAGCAGGTGCTGTCAAGGATTGTGTTGTGATGAGATTCCGAACCGTTCCTTCTTTGTGTGTGTTTTAGATATAGGTACTTCGAGCAAAACTAAGAGTTTAAAGATAGGTTTGTCTGATTATTAAGTTCGATTATTAAGTTCAATCCTAAGAGACCAACCTGTTAAGGACATGATTTGATCTGAAACTCAATATTAGCACATCTTTTAATATGTATATCTCAAGTATATATACTGGCTCTTCAGTAATGTCAGGACTCTAGACTTTCGAGTATTTGTTTATATCTGTTAACAAACCTCTTCAAACTTGCCAAAGAGAAGAGTAGAGAAGACTATTCAGTTGGAAAGTAACACAGAGTGTTGGACAGCACATACATTAAATATCATTACAATTATTACTTTCTCAACAAGATTGAACTTTTTTAAATTTGATTTTTTAATTATAATCATGGTAGTTCAACTACTTTTCAATATAAAAATTTAAAAACTGGTTTCTTCTAGAAGACTTCTCAAACTTGGGATTATCTTAAGTTGGTTTTTAAAATGGTGGTAATGCGTTATCATCCTGCTAGAGGTCTGTGAGATGTGGCAAAATCCTGAAAAGAAGTGGGTGTCAGCCCTGAAAGTTCACGTTATCTGGGTCCTCACTCTTACATGGAAAGCAGTTCTGTTCGCCTTTTCATTTTCATGCTGAAAATATTTACCTTTATGTTTTAATCTTGAGATCTTGAACTGATGTAAACTTTAGTATACTTAATAAAAGAATAATTCAAATATGGGGGAAATATTCTATGTAATTTTTCCCATTAAAGAGAAAAAATATTTTTAGTAATACTAAAAAATGTCATTAGAAAGTTTGCTCAGTAATGTTGTTTGAATCAACCTCTGTTTGAACAATACATTGTTCTGATTTTGCATCAAATAATCAGTAACCATATTGTGTATTCTGAAGCGCTGGGGTCTGAAAGTCACGAATGAGACTTTCACAGAGTCTGGAAGCCAAACTAACTGTCACCAGCTGTAAGCCTGCAACTTTCATGTGCTGGTGACATGTCAGAAAAAAATGTAACTGTGTCTGACTTCCTGCTTTCCCTTGCTTTCAGTATAGGTGTTAGAACTTTATGTAGTCTTTAAAATCCATATGTAAAGTCTTACATGTCTATAATAACAAAATACCAAAGTAGTGATAGAATTGAAGTAGCAGGAAGATTGTTTTTGCATCAAAAAAGGGAATCATTCATTGTTTGAATGAATTTGTGTATGTGCCAGATTGAAGAGTGCTCGTGACAAGAATAATCAAAAAGTTGATGTATAATGGTTGTAGCTCGAATATGTTCCAAGAGACAATCCTTAAAGAAATGGGAAAAATCGGGGGATATCAGCGACCCCAGACCAGCCTCTGTTTGTGTATAAATACAGTGATGTAGTCAGATATGAAGAGCAGTGTCTTACTGGCACCATTTACAGTTTAGAAAAACAATCTTTTTTATTGAAAATGTTCATCCTGATTTTTTTCCCACTTTTACAGATACTTGTATTTCTATGTATTTTTCTATGTGAATGTGTACTCTTCATTTTAATTCCAGCATTCATAATTGTTTATGTGCTGTTTCTCCTCTTTGCATTGAGTGAAATAGAACTTGGTCAAAGGTTTGCTCAAAGGAGGCTTACTCGAGGGTGAGGGGGTGCCCCTTGCAGAGCAGGGGAGCTTGCCCGTTACCATGGTGTGGAAGAGAAGAGGTGTGGCTTGGAGGCGGTGATGTTTACTGTCTTCTGGAATTAATGATTGGGGACCAGTAGCTATTTTCTCAGGATGAACGTTATGCCTAAGTTCTCAATAACAAGTCTGGGGAGGCTTTATTTCCATTTTCTTATTTATGAATCTCTGTACAAGCAGTTTTTTAACAAAGATTTATGAAATTGTTAAAAGTCTAGGAAAAACCATGAGGGAGTTTTTCCCCCTGGCTTCAGTAATGCAGGTGAGATGCAACTATGACATTACTCTTCCAGGGCGATCCTGTGTCTGTTCAGTAAAAAGTATTAAAAAAAAAAAATGAAGCAATAGCTTTTTTTGGGGGGGAGGGGGGAGTAGGGAAAGCCCTGGTTGGCAACTTAAAGAAATAGATTTCTCTCTACTTTGGATATAGCAATTGAGTTCTTATGTAAAATAAAATTGTTGAAATGTGATGTCATTTTGTTCAGAATGTTGTGAGCAAATAAAATCCATCTTGAAATTGCCATTAGCTTTCCGTTAATACTTCTGTCTTCCCATCCTTGATTTAAGCCAGTATGTAATGAAACCATGCTTCTGTAATTTTAAAATCATGTTCCTATAAACTAAATCAAAATATACAGTTTTTTTTTTTCACTTTTTAACTCCTTTACTGATTATCTGTTTAAGATGTTATTCAATAATTGGTTATGAGAACAAAAAAAGAAGCTACTACCTCATTCCTAATCTTATAAGGGGCATGAGTAATTCATACTGCACTATAACTTTTTTCCCTAATTTTGCAGTATGTCACAGATTCATTTTTGTATCACTGCTGTATTAAAGCAGAACAGCCCTGTGTATAAAGATTTTGATCCCTCCGAGGTTTCTGCCCAAGGGGGCTGCGCAGATATTTACACACTCCCATCAGTCTTTGGCAAGGGCTGCCCCAGGGCTGTTTCCCTGCTCTGCCAGAATGCACAGGTGGGCAAAGAGGGCTCTGGAGGCCGGAAGAAACCCTAAAAGATACCGGTGATGACCAAACAAGGGGAGTCAGGCCAGCATGCCCTGAGGTGAGAGCAGGATCCCTGCTTCACAGGTGACAACAGGGAAATAAGCCTGAGGGACCCTTATGAAGTCTTAAGGGTAGAAAACACAACCATAAGAGGAACGTGGAGCCTATGAACGCAGAATTACACCGTACCTGACAGCTGTTGAGACAACTTTGCAGGCCCAAAATGGAGTTTCTCCTACCCAGGGTGCCAAGTCAGCAAACTGAAGCTCAGATCACCGTCTTGTCCCTCTAGTATCTCTGCATGACCAGAAATGCAGCACATTCAGTCACTCGAAGGCCAAGCATGCTCGCCCCAAATGTTGACTGTGGCTCCAGGCAGTTACTTTCTGTCTCTACTTTGTTCTTTAGCCCTCAAGCCTTCCCGCCTCCTGCCCCATTTTGCTGTTCTCCAAAAGGAGACTATCAGCTTCAGGACTTGTTAAATAAAGTTGGAATCACTTAAGTTGCTGAAGATTCATTTCCCCCTCAGCAGGAATCTCCTCTGGCTAACCCAAGGGCTTTTAATTCAAAAATCTGTAATTCTCAGAGATACCATGATTCCAGTAATGCCTAAATGAATACAGTATCTCAGCGCAGAAGCTGCTATAGGGGTCCTAAAATATAGACTGACATTTTAAAATCTGTACAAAGAACATTTAAAGTAAGTTTATGCCTATTCTAAAAACTCAACCGCTCCTGGACAATCTTCTCTTCAGAGACAGGAGCAGCAAGACCAGCGTAAAGGTATCAGCAATACTTTATTGGACAGAGTAGCTGACAACTGGGTTAAAAAATAAAAAGAAAACAGTAATAGTATAGTACCTTCATTTTTATATTTATAAAAATGCACTTCACCCACTTTTCCATCGCTTTGCATTATAATAAAAATACATTAAAGTTCTTCCTATTCTATCATCAAATTCCATACCCCCACCCCCCAAATGGTCCATCAGACACAATAACTTGTCTGGACCTACACTTACCAGGAGACACACTGAGTGTTTTGCTTTCCTCTCCTTCCAACAAGGAGAATAAGAGAGACAGGTGTTCATTTTTGTTTAAAAAAAGATCCCCAGACTCTGTTCGTGCGGAACTCATTTATCTTTCTAGGGTGAAATGAAGTGCACAGGCATTTTTTAGTATTCACTCTGGAGCCGGCGCGGGCTGGGCCCGGCAGGGCTATGTGGCACAGTCCACCGTCTGCCTGGACTTCATCAGCTCGCGCTTCAGCCGCTCAAAGCACACGAACATGATGACGGTCCAGGAGCCCAGCCGCAGGAAGGACGGCACGAACCTGGAAAACACGCGTGGACGCTCCGCTTCAGCGCTGGGCCTCGGCCCGCTGCCCGCTGCCCGCGCGGCTCCGGGGCGGAGGCGGAAACACCCGGCTCGGCCCCTCCCCACTGGGCGGGACTCGCATCCCGGGGAGCTGTCTACACCGCTGGGGCGCGCGTCCCGTCCCGGGGAGCTGTCTACACCGCTGGGGCGCGCGTCCCGTCCCGGGGAGCTGTCTACAACGCTGGGGCGCGGTCCCGGAGAGCTGTCTGCACCGCTGGGGCGCACGTCGCGTCCCAGGGAGTTGTCTACACCGCTGGGGTGCGCGTCCCGTCCCGGGGAGCTGTCTACACCGCTGGGGCGCGCGTCCCGTCCCGGGAGCTGTCTACAACGCTGGGGCGCGGTCCCGGAGAGCTGTCTGCACCGCTGGGGCGCACGTCGCGTCCCAGGGAGTTGTCTACACCGCTGGGGTGCGCGTCCCGTCCCGGGGAGCTGTCTACACCGCTGGGGTGCGCGTCCCGTCCCGGGGAGCTGTCTACACCTCTGGGGCGCGGTCCTGGGGAGCTGTCTGCACCGCTGGGGCGCCGGGCCCAGGTGATGCCCGTGCACAAGCACATCCTTCTTCCCTTTCTGACCAAAGCCGCCCTCTGCCTTGGTCTCTGTGAATCACATTCCTCCCTTGGTGCGGAGGGAGGTGATTTTTGTTTGGCTGGGCCTTCTGCGGGGAAGGTAGGGAATGAAGAGAGGAAGAGAGAAAGAGGCAGTTCTGTCCTTCCTCTGTCAAGGAGCTACACGTGCTGGGTTTTTGTTTGTTTGTTTTTCCTCTTTGGGGTGGGGCTTGTTTAAGGAATCTGCCAAATTCTGCAGATCCAGTCATTGATTTTGAACACCTATTTGCAGCAATGAAATGGTCTAGGAGGAAAAGATGTCAGCGGTTAAATCTGCCTTGAAACTTTTTTTAAAAAAGACATCTGGCTGTAAAATTATCTTTCAACAACAGGTACATGAAAAGATGCTTAAAAAAAAAGACGCCATGTTCTGGTACCTTAGTTTAATCCCTGTTGAGAATAATCATAAATCAGTTGGTACTGAGGAAGGGGTTTTCCCATATAATGCTGCTTTAAGGGAAACGGATCTAGTGCGCAAGACGAGTGCCCAGGTGAGGGGAGCGAGGACCAGAACAGTCCTTTTCAGCATCACATTTCTGGGCCAGTGGCAATGATTTCTGTCTAATTTTGTTTTAAGACAATCTGAGTCCAACAAATTAAAAGAGGGAAAACCAAACCTGGTTTCATCCTAGTCCTCTATCCCTCCCTCCCTCACTTGTGATAGTTCTCCTGCCCAGAGGAGGCAGCTGCCCCCTACATTCCCAATATACTGGGGTCAAGGTCATACGTCCATTTCCAATGAACCTGTCTGATCACAGTTGAGAAAATTTTATCACCACTTAAGATTGCAACTTAATTTTCTGGCACAGTGGCATTGGTGGAGGAGTGTCTGGCAAAGGAGGCAGACACGAAGTGTACTGCATACTCCAAGGCTGGTCAGCTAGAGGTCAGCTGCTTGGTGAGGCCAGTGTCCCAAGCGCCCAGACATCCTGCTCTCAACATCATAGACATGGAAGATCAGGTCGTACCCTTTGAAGAAAGCCGACAGCCCTTCCTTGTGCAGCATGGCCAGCGCGCAGCTGTGCACGTGCGGGTACTGTCCCGGGGGAGAATTGATGAATCTGGTCTTCACCACGTCCACCGGGGAAGCCAGCGCCGTCGTGCAAAACCCAGCGACGAGAGCCGACACGACGTGGCAGGGGACGTCATCTAAAATGCAGCAGAGGAACGAGTCAGCCTCAGGCTTGGGGTGGGGGTGCGGAGCTTTTAGTTTCCAGGGGCCTAGCAGAGCCTGGTGAGTCTGTGGGTCACAGGAGGGCTACCTGCTTGTCTGAAATAAAATACAGTAAGGAAGGTTGGACTTACACTGGGAAAGGTAGCCAAGAGCTTGAGGCATCATGAATTAAAAGTGCCAGGAAAACAACCTGTGCTTTTTCTCTGTGCCCGTAGGGTGCTGTGTAAAGCCAGATATTCGGGATCTAAGGGGGAGAATTTTAGTGTCTCTAGAAGCTGTGCGGGTGTGATTTGGTGGGATCTCTGGTACGGGCACACCTCATATAACCAGCTTGCATGGCTACAGCTGGGGGAGGCCTCGCCTGCTGAATTCTATCTAACAAATATGATGCTAAGGAAGTCCTGTAAATGGTATCAGGTGTGAAGAGCACTGACCTCATCATACAGTTGCACTTTGCTCTTTTGCAAAAAAAAAAAAAAAAAAAAATTTGTTGCAGCAAAACTTCTAAAATGTGGGATTGGGGTCATTTTTTTAAAAAGGGAAAACAAAATTAAGGGCTTCAGTAAAACCTGGCTGGAGATACTCCAAGATGAAATTGTAGCTGTGGCATGACCTGTCGGTTGCATCACAGAGCTGTTACCTGCTAGCACCTTGTTCTTCACAAGGGCCTCCTTCATCAGGTCATACATCACCAGCTCTGTGCAGTTGATGATCACATTCCTTGTCAGGTTGAGACTGGTCCCTGGAAAACAAGAAAGTGTCACGAGCCCCACTCGGTGACAATGTGCTAATTGGCTGTGCGTGCTTGAACCACCCCTGGCTTAGCTACCTTTCCAAAGCCCCAGGAAGCCTTCCGTGGTGGCTATGACTCTGTAAGCGTTGTAGGTGCCGGTGTAGCGGGGCTTGAGGCCGTGCAGGTGGCTCTGGGCTTGCATCCTGACCTTCGCCACCTCCGTGGGCTGCCCGATGAACACGGCCACGCCGCCAGTCGTCAGGCCTGCGGAGATCTTGCTTCCCAGAGTGGGTGGGCCTGCCCAGAGAGAGAGCAGTAGTCATTAACACACAAAAAGAAAAAATTCCAGGGAAGGCACCGGTAGCCAGAGGAGCTTGGCCTCCTGCTGGCTGGGCCCACAGTCTGTGGAACGAGCCACAACAGACACACGACCCCGGTGCAGAACCTCGAGGGAGTTCAGGCTGTGAAGGGGACAAAGACAAAAAAGCAGCTAGAAAGTGGTTCTTCACTTGAAATTGGAAAAACGAGCACATGTTACCCAAGACGATGCCATTTAATAAGACTACAGGTCTTGCCGCCCACCCCTGTTCCACAGTTGAACGTAAAGGGTGGACGATAACATCGCTCCAAGGGCTTTCTCAGTGTCTGTCGTTCTGTTTCCTAATCCAAATTGGAGATGACAATGTTCACTTCCTAGAACCAGCGGGTGGGTGGAAATACCGCAGCTGAGGGACCGAGCACTGGCCTGCGGGCAGGAAGCACGCAGCTCTAGCATCAGCTCTCGTTACCATCAGGACGGTCCTCTCTTCACATGGGCTCAGCCAGGGGCTGAAAGTCTAGATAACCATCTTCTAATGGCGGGAGCAGGGCCGCCTTCCTTCTGTGGCGCGCACCTGTCACCAGATGCACACCTTTCCTTGGAGCCCTCGAGGGAGAGGCTGTGATCTCTGTCTTCACTGCCCAGGGCTCGTTTCTCCCTCAGCCCTCTGCAGCCTGACTCCACTCTGCTGAAGGGGTTTTGCTAAGGAAACCTAAGAGCTCCTATTGTCACTACAGGAAGTCCTCACTTAGGTTCTAGACAGGCTCCTGGAAACTGCCAATTTAAGCGGAACAGCACATAAGGGAAGCCAGAGGCTCGATTACACCCTTCTGTTTCCTGCGCGGCTGGGATGCTGTTGTCCTCATCAATGTCATAAGGAAAGGATGTCGACTAAAATGGCATTAATTGAAGACCTTTGCTCACTAGGTCTCTCCGCTCCATCAGCCCATGGACAGTCCCTCCTGTGAACTCCTAGGAGTCCAGCCAGGAGGTTTGTCCAAGTGCAGGTGCAGGCTGGACACCACACGTCTGAGCTGAAGCTCTTATCTGCCCCTGAGGCAGCTTCTATACTCCCTCCCTCCACAAATTATTCCTGCCTTCCCTGTCCACCTTCTGTCCAGTTGGCAGCCAAATCCAGTCAAGCTGAAGCTCCCTGACTCCTTCTCCCCGTCACCTTCCTTCCTCACACCCTCTCTTCCCAAGTGTCCCTTTCTCTCCCTTTTTCTATCCGGCCTCTGTTCTGCACCAAGGAGGTCTTCTGAACATGCGCATTGTTGATATGACCCCTCGCCCACATTTGCCAATGACTTCTCATCACTGAAGAATAAACTCCAAACTCCTCAGCCTGGTATACGAGGACCTGTTCCGCCTCCTCATCTCCAAGACATACACGTATCCAAGCCAGGCCCCAGGCTGGATGATTCGGACAGACATAAGCCCACGAGCAGTGAGCCAACACCAAGTGAATTTGGGGGGGGGGGGGGTCCAAACACGGATGTGACACGCAGCCACTAGCCTGAGTGACTGTGCCTGGACAGGGCGGCCGGGCTCGCGGGGGCCCGGCAGCTGCGCCTACCGTCCGTGCCCGAGCTGAAGAACTCCTGCACGGAGTCGTAGAGGCCGATCCTCAGAGAGGCGAAGCTGATCTGCCTCTGGATGCCCGCGGGCAGCCCGCTGTAGAGCTTCATGGGCCCCTCCGTCTTGATCAGGGTGGTGATGGTGCCCAGGACGCCTTTATACCTGATGCCACTGGAGATCGGGGTTTCGCCTTGAATCTGGAAATGAGAACAGGGGAGAGGGAAGTGAGCACCAAGTAGGGACCCCCCCCTACCCCAGGGAGGAGAAACCAAGGACACAAGGACAGGCCGTGGCTGTTCTCTGTGGAGAAAACTTCAGGCAAGATTTATCCTGCTGTGTTCCTAGGTCCTGTTCCTTCTTGGTCTCAGCAGCCTCTTCTCTGTACACCTGCCTTACAGCTTATGTGTGCTCGTAGAGTGATATCTGTAACCTGTCCCATCACGTGATGCTATTTAGTTTCTCTCTCTAAGTATCTACCTATACAGATACCTGTCTATATTAATAGAGAGAGCTACACCTGCATATGTAGATACATGTGTGTGTGTGATCTATATCAGAGTGGATCTATCTGTGTCTGTGATCTCCATCTAGCTCTCTCTATATATACCTATACACACACACACACACACAGAGAGAGAGAGAGACAGCGAGACAGAAGCCACCATACACCTTTTGCACATCCCCATCCCACCTCCCCCCATGAATGCTGGAGAACCCCCAACTAAGGCAGAGGGATGGGAAGGTGTCCCTGTTAATTAAGAAGGCAGAAAGCACCTGCTTCTAAACTTGGGAGAGGCCCACAGCCTTAGCTCTTAGAACACCTGGCGCGCCCTAACATTTGGGGAGTTTGGCAGGAGTCAAGGTGAAGCCATTCTCTGTGACCCCTGTGGTGCTTCAGTTTCTCTCCAGAAACTACCTGCCCCCAACCTCCCCTTCCCCCCTGCATCCATCCTGGAGAGCGGCCAAATCAAAGGTGGCCACCAGCCCCAGTGGGATGGGCGTTGAGACCACAGCCAGGAAGGCCCCTCTCTGCCCGTCTGCACCTTGCCTGCCTACCTGGAGCCGGACTTTGGCGGTGTCCAGAGGGAAGGTGATCACATCCGCGGTGCAGGCCGCCAGCCCTGCGGAGAAGATCTTGATGGGCATGGTGGGGGCCGGCTGGTCTGGGGCGGTGGAGGCGACCATCTTCACGCAGAGCACAAACCGGGCGCCTCACCAGGCCAGCAGAGGAGGGCTCCCGCCCCAAGGTGAGGTTCTCCCGCCTCTGCACTGCGGTTCAGCCCTGAGTGGCCCAGTTTTGGGGAGAGTGCCGACTGTGCAGCTGCAGGCCGGTGGTCTGAGAAGTTGGCTGCCAGGGAGTGCAGGCGTGGGGTGAGTGGCGGCGTGTCCTTGCTCCGCGCCTTGGCTCTTGGAGATGCCCTGCGCCCAGGCTGGAAGCACCGTGCGCCCTGCCTTGCCCTGGGGCGCTTATATTGCCAGCCGCAGGGGCTGAGTCGTGCTGGGCAGGGCGGGTCTCCAGGCGGGCCCCTCCCACCTGCATCCCAGCTGCAGCTGCACCCCGCCCTAGCACTCCCCAAAGCCCGGGGTGCAACTGGTGGTCTCCATGCTGAGCTCCAGGTGGAGCGGGGCATCCCTTGCTCCCGGCGCGCCCCACCTCCCCAGGCTGGTGTCCCCTCCACGGGGATCCCTGAAACAAGCGGGTTCACTGCGATCCCGGTCAAAAGCCCTGCCTGTCTGGAGCTCTCCGAGGGAACACTGGGGCGCTCCTCTTAATCTTCTGACTCCACGGAGCCCTGCAGCCCCTGACTTTCCTTTGCTCTCCTTTAACTTCTCCTGTCTCCTTTCCAGCCGAGTTCAGATGGAAAGTGCCCAGGCAGGAACCAAGAACACTCTGAACTTTTAAAAGAAATAGTATTTCATGAGAACTTTTTTTGTGGGAGCTTGTCAAATGAGCTAGCGGTCACACCACAGGGCCCCAAGGGAGCTGCATTCCTCATCACCCAGGCCCGGGTCCCCTAGGTGGGGTTAGCTGAAAGTCTGTGTCCAAGGACCTAGAGATAAGTGTAAGTGAAGAGTCGCTGTGCTAGAGAGCAGGCAGTTTCCCAAGCACTGTTGTTACAGAGTGAGCTCTCCCTGCCCCCTTAATCCCCTCCTTAGGGTGCCCTGTGGAGGGACATGCAGGCCTTGGCTCCAGGCGCCTCTGCTGTCCCCTCCTCTGGGACCCTGTCCTGTCCTCTTATCCGGCTTCTGCCTCCATCCAGGTACAATTACCCCAGTCGGGACTATCACCGAGATGAAAGTGCGTACATTGTACGAAAAAGCAAAATGATGTAAAAATATATATATTACAGGACTCTTAGTTTTCAGAAAAAAAAAAAATAAAATAAAAGCACGACCCCAGTTGGCTGGCTCCTGACCTGCAGGGATAAACCCCACCGGTGATGGGGCTTTGCTCCGAGAGGAGGCACTTTCCCGACTGTCCTGGTTAAAGATGGATTTTGAATGTTCATGTAGTTTTTCCGGGGGCCTTCATATTCCTTTTGAAAATTATGGAGGGAAGTCACGGGAAACCGGAGCAAGAGAAAAGGGAGCGGACCTGGCTCCGGTTCCTCCCAGAGAAGCCAGGGCGCTGGGGGACGGCCTCAGCACGCCAGGCGCTGCTGTGCTCGACTCTGAGCTAAGCCCCCAAAGGGCCCAGGAGAGTGAGATGGGAAGCCCCAAGAGAAGCCCCTCCAAACTCTCGACAAGAAAAGGCTGTGCGCAGACGACACCTCAGAAGAGGACAGAACCGAAGAAAAATGCGCTGTGTTTGGCTCTGGCCTCACTGTCACCCCCCGGAGAGCAGCTGGGGTGCAGTGGCCGGGCTGTGGGGCTTGGTGAAAGTGGGGCAGCGTGGGCTCTAGTTCTTCGTACTCCCGTGAACCTTTCCTGTGAACCCCCAACCCAAGCCTATCCGGGGCCACTGTGTCAGAGATGCAACTTCCCTGAGCCGTCGCTCTGAAGGGGCTCCGGGTGGACACTGACACCCTCCCCCGGGGCGCGGACACGGGAGTAGCCACCCTGGACTCCAGATAATCCCGCTCGCCAGCGAACACCATCACGTGATTCCGGACGAGGACGTGAGAGACGAGTACAGGCAGCCAGTCAGGTACAGGGTGCCCCAAGCACCAAGCCCAGGTGCCGCAAGTCCATTTATCAATGTGATTGAGAAACAATCAGTTGAAGCCAGGGTGCCCCCAGCACGGTAACACGCTGCTGCAGCAGTGGGCCCGAGCTGTGCGGGAAGATGGGCCAAGAAACCCGGGAGACCCCACGGGCCCCACCCATCAGCCAGAGACACAACCCCGAGACACCCAGCGGCTGAACCCCGACTCCTGGCCCCCTAGACCCACATAAACACCTGCTTTTTGCCCCCTCGGTGGCTACCCACTTGCGACCCCTCTCAGCTCAGAGAGCTTTCCTGTCCTTCCTCTTATTTGTCAGTAAATCTCTTGCTTTGCTTCCTGATTCTGGTCTCGATGTTGAATTCTCTCCTCGCAAGATGAGCGCTGAGAGAGGCCCCGGGGGTCTCCAGGCCCCCAGACTGGATTTATTTCCACCCACACTGGGGGGACAAAATCATCATCCAGCATCCCTCTGCAATTCGTGACCCGTAAACTGTGAGGTCCACGAAAGGCAGTTGTTTCAGGCTCGCGCCGGAGGGCTGGACGCCAGGCTAACTGTCTCTTGCCCTTTCTTCAAGGGCAAAGTGCGAGTGTGGAGTTGGTACAGAGGGGGGTGTAGAACTTTGGGATGTAGGCTAGGAAAATATTCACAGTAGCTCTTTGAAGAAGAAGCAGGATCACTAAAAGTTCTATTGTTTTCGTAAGAAAGTGTTTGCAAGTTTTAAAGGCAGAGTAGGACCATCGGGGTGGGAGTCGGATGTGGGGGGGGGCGGTCAAGGAAAGTGACTGGAAGGGAAGGAACCAAGGGAATGATCTGTCACAAGGCCGGAAAGGTGGAGTCCAAAGCAGACTGCACAGGTGGGGAGAGGAGCCGTAGCGGAGAGGGCCGTGTACGTGGACCAGAGAACAGGGGTCCTCTGAGAAGGCGCATCTGGCTGCTGCCCACATGCTGGGAGGGAGACCCCCTTCTCCAGCACAGAGTGGGCTCGGTGCGGTGGTGACTGAGCCCGGAGATGCTCTCCAGGCGGCCACTGAGCATCAGGAAAGAAGCCGAAATCAAACGCCTAGTTCTAGAGCCCTTGGGAGGTCACAGGAGTTCAAGATTCGGAAAATGACTCTGGATTCCAAGGAGCAGGTTACCTCACCCTTACAGAGGGGCTGGGAAGTGGGGGAAAGTTTGCCTCAGGTTGGAGAGAACAGTAGGGGAGAGGGTGGCATCCCCAGAGGGCCCGATTTCTGCTCTTCTGGCACAAAGAAGAAGCGAAGAGGTAAAGAATAGGTCACTGCGAGCAAGGGCGATGGACTGTGTGACGTGGCCAGGAGGCAGCCTGTGCGTGCACCGAGCTTCCTCTTTGCAAACTGAATGCGGCGTTGACAGTGCACTTGCTCCAACTGTGACCAGCCAGAGGCCGCTGAGCAGGGTCCTCCTTTAGCTGATCAGAGTAGCGGTGCTTTGCGTTTGAACAGTGTTCTGCCCTGCCCACCTCTCCCTGCTAGGCCCCGGGAGGAAACATCATGTGGTGATACACACAATGTGCAAATGGCAGCTACAAAAGAAGGAAGGTTACCGAGATAAGCCAAATTTAAATTATGACAATAGCAAAAGGTTTAGAACATTTTCTATGTTTCTGGTTTATAACAAATTATTTAAGATAATTTTAAAGTTTATTCATTTTTTCAGCTTAATGATGTATAAGTGATAAACTTTTAAGATATATATATATATATAGAGAGAGAGAGAGAGAGAAGGTTAGCATTAAAAAAAGAGTGGACATAGTATCACTAACAATTCTCTATCTTTCACCTAATAAATTGTTATGTGGTCCCAACCAGCTTTATAATTAGTTTAATGTGTACATATGCATTATAAATGTAGCACTATAAATATAAACAGATTATGAGTATGGTAATAACAAATTGTGGCTGTTGAAAACTGATTGTCTTAATAGCATTGCTGTATTTATGGTGGTGTTATAAATTTGCACAGTTCTTTTGGAAAATGATTTGTCTGCATCAAGCATGGTTATACATCAGGATATGGCCCCTAGGATAATTAGCCAAAATATGAAAAAAAAATCCCATGTGGAATGATGCTTATATGCTTTAGTGTGTGTGACAGCAGCTTAGTGGCAGTGCTGCATGCTTTGGGATTAGGTGTGCATGTGTGGGTTGGCCTGAAGACCCATGGGTGAGACCAGTAGCCCATACGTGTCAACTGGAATGAATTCATACAGGCAGAAAGGAAAGTCCCTTGGCCATAGGGAAAGAGCAGGGAGAGAGCAGGAGGGGGTGTTCCTAGTCTAGCCCAGCCAGGAGGGAAAGATGCTGTGTCAAATTCTGTGTCAAGGAGAAACTATTTCATGTCTATTCAGATGCAGGTGGTGCAGTAGTGTGGTTAAGAGAACAGCAGACCCTTGTTTAAATTCTGTCCTAAAGCCTTACCAGCCAGTTGAGTGTGGATAAACAACTCCTGAAGCTCAGACACCTCGCCTAATGACTGTTCCTCATCATCAGGTTACTCTTATTACCTAGACCTCCCTCCCTCTGTGCCATGCCCCCGGCGTACCTGATCCTCACAACCTAGGACAGGCCTACCCACCTCCAGCATTTCACACGTGTAGAGCATCTGAAAGCGCCAGGCACCATTCTAAGCAGTTTACAAAATTTCGCACATTTAGTCCTTATTTCAGTCCTCTGGGGAATAAACTATGGTTTTCACACTTTGGTACCAGGGAGCTCAGAGGATCCGAGGTATTAAGTAACTGCTCCTAGGTCACACAGCCACTGAGTGGAATGTTCAGGACATGACCCTCCAACTCTCAATCACTGGAGGATACCCAACTGCCTCTCCATTGTACTTATTAACATTCATTTTTTTAAATTGAAATGACTGGTTTCCAACGCTGTGTATAGGTTCCAGGTGCACTGCGTTAAAATCAGCATCTGTACAAACTGTGTCATGTTCACCAGCGAAGCTCTACTTTCCATCCTCATATGCACCTGATCCCTTCCACCTGATTT